GTTTAATGTTTATCAGTACATTACAGAAAATAATGAACTTTATCACAATATGCTAATTTTTTGAGAAGGACCTGTAAATGAGGACAGCCTTTAGAAACAAGTAAAAAAATTATTTTGGAAAATCCCCCACAGTTGTTTTGAGACATTTTGGAGACTTTAACTAATCACTAATAGTCGCAGCTTAGTCAAATACTGATCTTAGACTGTGACAACTATCTGACACAAAAAGAAAAGTTGCTCACATCTGCTGAACTTGATGATTGTTTGCATCAGCATGCTACTTCATTTATGAAGATGACTCTGAGAAGGAACAGATACCAGGGAGTAATGTCACTGAGCCTGGTTCTGCTGGAGGTTTCTTCCTGATTAGCAGGGAGTTTTTCCTCTCCACCGTTTGCTCAGGATGGGAGACTGTGATGAAGTGATTCAACACAATCTGCTGGCTTCTTCTTTAGATTATTCTTTATGTACAGTGCCCTGAGACAACGTATGTTGTGACTTGGTGCTATATAAATAAACTGAACTGAACTGAACTAAGGAGGAGTTTCTTACTTTGTGGGAGGAGTTTACCCAAGATGTGATTGGTCAGATTGACGGTGGGGTTTGAAAAAGCTGTGGGGCAGCTGGGTCGAAATGAGCAGGAGGTGCCTATAATTTTAAAATATAGAGATTATTTTAGTCATAACTTGAGACAGGGAAGTGCTATCTGCATGAAATCAATAAATTATATTAAGAAACTCACAATAATTTTATTGGAGTCATCGTTCTGTTTTAAACTGTACATAGACAGTCAATACATCATTATTTTACTATTATCATTACATCCTCTTTTAAGTTGCTCCGCAGTACAAGTCAATCCAACCAATCATGGTTAGGACCAACTCCACCCACAGACCACCCACAGACCAACTCTGCCAATCACGGTTAACACAAACTCCGCCCACACATCAACTCCTCCAATCTTAGGGCAAACTCCACCCACAGAACAACCCTGCAGGAACCCCTACTTGATACCAGGTGCAAATGATGTGCAAAAACGGAGTAAAAAATTTGCAGTGTTCATAGTGTATTAGAGACAAAATATGAAGCAGTGTCAATTTAAAATGAGCTGTTGTTGTTTTTCTGAGGATACATTTAAAGTGCCTGTGATGTCAAATTTTTGTAATACACATGAATGCAGTTTTAGAAAGAGGACGTTGATAAAATATTGCAGAATAAATTTCATATCGCTGAGATGAACAGTTGTTGAGATATTTGCCTGTGAAGTAACAGGAAGTGATGTCAAAGGGGAGTGTCTGCATGTAAACAGAGCGTTGTTACAACTCAAACTGTAGAGAAGAATCTGATGTTTCTTTASATTATTTTTAGTCTCTATCAGAGAAATGAAGAGACAGAGTTAAAATAAAATTGCTTCAATAAACAAAAACCAGAGTTTTCTTTGTTAAAGAGTTCTCCTCTGATGTCACTTCCTGTTTCACTTTGCTGAGCTAAGTTCAAAAGAAAGTGTGCCAGTAATGGGACAAAATGGGGTAAATTGTGTGTATTATTCCAACTTTCTAAAATAGAAAGATGTTTTCTTTGACATTTTGTGTTTGAAGAATATACAGTACGTCACACGCACTTTAAAACCTTGTATATAAAACAAAAGTGAAACAAGGTAAGGTTTCCCATGACGTTAGCTTGCACAGTCTGACTTGTGTAATGTGGGAATATCAGCAGCTGAATGTTTCCATGAAATAGACATAACTCAGTTCACTTTAATCACTTCTAAATTGTCGAGATCAACAAATGTAACCACAGAGAGGACTAAATATTGCTGCTAAATGGTAACCCTTTATTGCAGCATCATTGGGGTGCTGTGTGCCTCAGGCTGTTTGTGTCAGTGCGGATGTTTGTTAGACGTGAAGCTGTTATTATACAGCTCAGACTCACTCCTGCTCAGCGTGGGAGTCTGCCTACAAAATCATGAGTCTGGGCTTGTTCCTCCAGAACTCACGCTGCTCAGGAGCAACAGGTGTGTGTGCAGCTCATCTGTGGAGACCTGGTGTGCAGCTTGCCTCGTTTTTTTCTCCTGCTCCGATCTGAAGCAGAGTCAAGCATCTCGTAAAGACAGCCTCAGTTTTACTGGACCACGGCTCTTTTTATCTCCTAACCTTTGTTCTGTTTTATTGCTTTCATCTGGCCCTCCGCACCCTCCTGCTGCTCTGTTTTTCACTGCCTCCTCCTGTGTGTTTTGTCTGTGCAGGAGTTGTTGAACATAATTGCCAGCGTGCTTCACCTTGGCAATGTGCAGTATGGTGAGGAAGAGGGCAACGCCTGCATCACCTCAGATATACAGATCAAGTATCTGGCCAGGGTAAGACTAAACCCAGCAGCTTCACAAACTTTACTGACAACACATGAAAAAAACTAGAACTAGAGAAATTGCATTTCCTGCGACAATGCTATTGTGAATGCCTGTTGCTGAAAACTTTAGCTGAAAGCTGCTGAAAGAAAAATCTGAAAGAAGCACAAAAAAATCAGAAAATCAGTATAAAAAAAGGAAAAATATAGCTGAAATAGCATAAAAAGCCAAAAGCTAAAATAGCTGAACATAGAAGAAAGCATCTGTAAGAAGCATAAATAACTTAAAATAGCAGAAAGAAGCACAAAATAGTAAAAATTAGCAGAAGAATAACAGAAAAGGACAGATATATAGCTAAAACACTAGAAAAAAAGCTAAAATTTGCAAAAATAAGTAGCTAAAATTGTCACAGTGAATTTAATAAGAGCAAAACCAGAACAAATTGTGTAAAGTTTTGTAAAGATTTAGAAACAATTTGAAGGATTTAGTGGTTGTTAAAAATAGCTCCATTCATTTTCAGTCGCAAAAAAGTGGCTAAAAAAGTGAAATAGCTAAAAAGTAAAAATAGCTGAAATACCAAAAGTCATGGCTGAATGAGCTGAACATTTTGATATATGAATAGTTGAAATAGCTTAAAAATTGTGGAACGAGAAAGAGGCCAAAAAACGTAATAAGCGTAAAAAATGATCTCAGTAGTTTAAGTTTTAAGTTTAAATTGTTTATTCATTTCATTTAAAACAAAAAAAGTTAAACACATTAAAAACAAAAGATATACACAACATATCACAACAAAAAAACAATATATACAAATCAAATTGAAATGAAAGGAGGCAGAAAGAAGAAAAAATCATACAGTATAACACAGTATCTGCCCCTTTTTTCTACAGTTAATTTAAAGCAATAATAATAATAATAATTAGGGGAAAAAAAGAAAAGACAAGGAAAAAATAAGAAAAAAAAACTAAATAAAAACTTCAATTCAATAGTGTGAATCCTGTAAGGCATTTACACTGATTATTGACCACATTGTCATAAAGTTGACATAAAAACTCAGAGAACCCTGCTCTCTAAACTGCTGGAATTAAATACAAAACCAACATTTTTCTTGAATGAAGAATACAGATCTGTATCATTCTGATATTATAAAATACTTGAAAAGAGAAAATTTCCTTCAGGAGATAAAATTACTAAAACAAATACTGTAATTTACCATGATCCCTTTTAGTATCTGTGTATTTTTCTCATCGCCTCAAGAGTTGCCAAAACATCTTTCTTTATCTTGTGTTCCCTCCTAACCAGTAGGCAGATAAAGCTGTGTTTATGTTCACAGCACTGCAGAGGAAACCAGTGAAAACAAGACAAGAGAGATGATATTCTGAATTAAACATTCAAATAAAGAGGGGCTAATACAAGTTAAAACAAACAGAGGCTAAAGTCAACACAACTGTAGCTAAAAGAAAAACAGATGGTAAAAGATACAATTAGCAGAACTACGGAAGCCTAGAGCGGACGTTTTCTGCAGGTAATTTTTCCATGGTTTTCTCCTGATAACGACATTATCAGGAGAAAACCATGGAAAAGATTATGTGCAGAAAACATCCACTCTAGGCTTCAATACAAAACAGTTACTAGAAGCTTAATTTAGAAAAACAGTAGGTAAAAGCTACAATTAGCAAAAGCTAAGCTAAAAGTTAATGTAGTAGAACTGTGTCTAGAACCTACAATTTGGTAAATCATAGCTAAAAGCTAAAATAACCAAGGATGTAGCTAAAGGTTAAAAAGAGCATAAGAAAACAAAAATAAAACGACTATGACAAAGCAGAGGGCAGAGAGCAATACTTTAAAGGATTTAATGAAACCTCGTTGCATTTCTATAAAGCAATATTACAAATAAAGTAAATAATAAAAAACTCATAACACATTATTGATCTGAACACTTTGATATGAATTGTTAAATTGACCTAATATATCCAGAATAAGTTGTTTGTTTGCAAAGATCATTTTTTAATCAAAGTATAAACAGGAAAACTAAAGCTGTGGTTCATTATTCCCACAAATAAATCTGTTTCAGGCAATGAAATGATGAGATTTTCTAAGCCTTCTTCTCAGATCTGTTTGGTTGGGTGGTTCTGCCTCCGCTGCAGCTGGAATGTAGATTAAACTTTTATATTAATGTGTTTTTTTCTCCAGTTGTTGGGTGTGAATGGAGCGGCGCTGACAGAGGCACTCACGCACAAAAAGATCATCGCTAAAGGAGAGGAGGTACGTGATAAAACGAGTCTGTGTGATGTCAGCTCTGCTCTAATGTTAAAATATTACTACTTGTTTAAGTGATGGGTTTGTGTGTGTGTGTGTTTATGTGAGCAGCTCGTGAGCCCTCTGAACCTGGAGCAGGCATCTTCAGCTCGTGATGCTTTGTCCAAAGCAGTTTACGGACGCACCTTCACCTGGCTGGTTAACAAGATCAACACGTCACTAGAATACCCGGTACTCAGTCTGCAGCCGCACAGCGCCACCTGCTGGCCTCTCAGTGTTACTGCTGTTTAACATCAGTTTGTTTTTCTTGTTTAAAGTTATCGCTTTTATTTGCAGCCAGTGATGAGTCTTCTTCTTGTTTAACAGGATGATTCGTGTAAAAATTACTCTGTCATTGGCCTGCTGGACATCTATGGCTTTGAGGTCTTCCAGCACAACAGGTAAAGTTAAATTTATTCGTCAGCAAAGGTATTGCTGCTACACATTATCTTCATTTTTCTTGTTTGATTTAAATGTGCTTGCACACATGTGAAGAAAACACTTCAGATTTTTTAGAATAGCTGTTTGTAAACATTTAACATATTACCTGTTTTAAATAGCTTCAGTTCAGAACTGCTTACTGGGTCATAGAACACTGGTTTAGCCACAGACAGAACCAGCGACCAAGAAGAAAGCAAAAAGTAAAGAATTAGAGAAGAATCGAAATTCTAAATGTAAATAAATTATAATAATAAATTAATAATAGTTTTACATCTAAAATTTATTATTTGTTCTTTTTATCTCTTTTCCTCATTCTACAAACTATTAAAT